CAGGACACCCAATCAGAATGCAGATACCCTTGCTGAGGTCCTGGGCCCCAGGTAGGGATTGCCTCCCTGACCCTACCCTACCTCAGAGACAAGGGTCAACTGTCTGCTCACCGAGATGACCGTGTCACCCTGACACTGCTGGGATAGATCTCGGACACCACTCACGAAGAGCCTGTTGGTGGTGACGTAGGCCTTACCAGCCTCAATCATACCACTGCACAGCTTGACGAGCTATGGATAAGACAGGTGGACAGCGTAAGGGACTGGCAGCTTCCCCAGGCAAGTGACACTCCCACTGGTCACAGCTCCCAAGGTGACTGCTCCCAGCGGCAGCCAGAATTCCATCAGAGACCTTCAGCACCTGCCTGGGACTGGGGGAGCAGCCACCATGGCTTTCCTGCCTACCTCTATCTCTGCTACCTGGGTGAAGCAGGGAGAGGGGCACTGTGGAGGTTGACCATCTCTTGCAGACTGTCAACTTAGAGGGGAGCATGAAGTGGGGGAGGACAGGGGGCCTCAGGCAGCATCAGAGGGCCAGTGTTGTGACCGTGAACCAGATGTCCTCCCTTGCTCTGTGCCCACTCCCCTCCCTTCCCTGCTTGCCTCTTTAACCCCCAACCCTGTCACACAGGGCACAGCCCACACAGCAGCTGTTCCCATCCAGCAGCCAGCAGAGGCACAGAGGAATACCTCAGGTCATCCTGTCCAGAGGGACAAGATTCAGGTTCAAGTGGATATGTGTGGCCCAAGCACCTGGGATTTGTGTGGCAGCACACAAATGGAGTTGTGGGACAGACCCAGGTCCTATGCACAAAGCACGCTCAGACCCAAAAGGGTGCATGTGAACTCCTACTCCTGGAAGGCAGGTTCTGCCACTCAGCCATTCCCAGATCTGCCTGGGTGTGGCAGCAGAGCAAGCTTGGACCCTCCCCATGCCCAGGCTGCCCTTACCTTATCCAGTTTGGCCTCGATCTCGCCCACATCTGTTTCTACCTCATCAATGGTTGCTCTGCAACAAGAATGAGTAGCCTTACAGCAAACTGTGCGGACTGGGGTCAAGCGGGGCTTCATTTCCACCTGCACCCCTAGGGGTCTACGGTGGCAAACACCATGTCCTTACAGGCAGGACTGGGGCCAGGTCCAATGACTGGAGACATCCAGCATCCATACCCATGGCCATTCCAGACAGGAAGAGGCCATGTGGCTGTGACCCTCACCTCGCTCCAGCTGCTAAATGTAGGGGCAGCAGAGGGCTGGAGTCCCACGGTGATGCTGCCCAGGGCAGGAGCTGAGTCTTCCTGGCTGGCTTCCCTCCTGGTCCCAGGGGCCACCTTGACTCCTGAAGCTCCCACCCCTCTATTCCTCCTACAGCCCATTCTGGCCCAGTGCTTGTGGCCCTCTTGTATGAGACTGAAGCAAGGGGACCAAGAGACCACAGCCCAGCCAAGAAGGGTCTGCTTCAGAACCTGCTCCCACCAGGAGGGCCTGACAATGGGGCTGCCATGGGGAGGGAAGAGTTAATGAGTGACATCACCAGGAGAAGCCACCGGAGAATCCCCGGAAGCTAGAAGCAGATGGATTGGGCACGTGACACCCCCTCCCTCCGGGAACAGGAAATAAGGAAATAGAGCCAGGATCCCAGCAGTCTGCCCCTACACACACACAATCAGCTCAGCTGGTGAGCTGGGCCCATCTGGCTGGCCTAGGATGAGGTACTCTGGGACATAGGCTTAGCCTCGGGCAGGGGATCTAGAGTTGGGGGCCATCCTGGGGCAGTAGCTCCTAACCCCTTGCTACCCCCCACCCCCAAGGCAGGTTCTAGGGTTGCCCAAATTTGGGGAGGGGCCTGCAGGTCACCAGGAGTGCAGCTGGGTATGTCCATAATTAACATCTAGGATCAAACTGGCCAGGCTGCCTGAGCCAGGGACTATGCTTGGTTACCCACTCTAGCAAGATACCAGATTCCTCCAGATGGCACCCACTTCCCAAGGGGATAAAAGAGTGCTGCATCCCAGAGGCAAAGAGGCTCAGTGGCTACATGGAGGATCCTTGGCAGGATGATCCCTCTCCCAATCCTCCCAGGAGAAAAGTTCTTTAGCTAGGAGCCCCACTCGCACTCCGGGTGGGCATGGCAAACCCCCACAAGACTGCCCTGACCCCAGAGCCAGGACGCAGGACCCAGACCCAACCGCTGCTATAGCTGAAGGTACCAAAACACAGAAGAGACTGTGCCTAGGAGACACTGCTACAGTCCCCCACTCCTGTCCCCTAGGCAGGCCGGATGACCTGGACAGCTGCACTGAAGCTGCCACCCTCAGGGTAGGGTGGGGGAGGGAGGACGGAGGGACTTCTGTATACAGGAGGCAGCAAGGGCGGGGCTGCACTGGAGCTGGCAAAAGTGTCCATGGAGACACAGTGGGTGCCCAGCAGAGGCTTATGGGACCAGCACTATCCTGAGAGCTCCTCAGCTACCCTCCCTAGCCTCCCTTCAGGTACTGTACCTCCACTTCCTTAGAGAGAGCAGGCCCCTCTTCACCCAAGCCATGACTCAGTGCCTGAGCCCCACCCAGGAAAGAAACTTCTGAGGCCTGGTAGCTCTCTTTCCTGCTCCCCTAGACCCACAGCCAGTGTTCCAGGACATTCCTGAGGCCATCATGGCTGGCAGCCCCCAAGCAGGAACCCCCTTTGTGGACTGAGCACCCAGCCCCACATCATCACTACCATATCCTCCTGCCAGCTCTACCCAGGTCTGTGACCAGGAAGCTAAAGTTGCAACCTCAGTGACACTTGAGAGCAAGTGGGCAGAGGCTCGCCCAAAACACACTTAGGCCACAACCCCAGAACCCACAGAGCTAGGCTTCGGTGACTCCAAAACTGAGGTCCAAGCTGGACCTACCCAGGTTTTCCTACCCAGGTCCCTTTCTCTAACAGAAGAGTTGCAAAGGGAGGAAACAGGGGGCCCCCAGGTCTAACAGGATATTCACAGGATAGAATGATTGCAGCAACCTTGTCACAGACCCCTCCTTGGGCGGAGGAGAGGAGGAGGCTTTTAGTGAGGGGCCAAGGTGAATCTAGAGGGCTTCAACCTGGACCAAGCCCCAGCAGAGAAGCCCTGGCCACACCTCCCTCCACAGCCTTGATGCAGAATCATGAGCTGCCTGATCACTCAGACCCCTTTCCTCAACCAGTTGTAACAATAGAAAACACAGGGAATCCTTTTCCCATTGCCCTGGACCTGGAGCCACCCCGAGCCCACACTGATCCTCCCAGGTCCTGAGACCTTTCTTGCTTACACCTGTGTGGGGTGGTTTTGCAAAGGGCTGGGGCCTAGGGAAGCTGGGGGAGGCCTCTGGAGAACCAGCCTGCATACAGACATCTGAGCAAGCACACACATACAAACGCAGGACACATGCTCACACACATACAGCAACACCATGTACACACAGACATGTGTCCCAGGGACACAAGCATACACACAGAGACATGCACTGGTGCCAGGACAAGCACACACATGCACAAAGTAACACATCTATCAGCCTGAACCCATGCAGAGGTGCACTGACACAGAGGACCACCCACTCGTTGCATCTGAATGGGTGCATCCAGCTTGCCAGCCTAGTATTGCAGCTTACCCATACAAGCATGTGCATGATCTGAGACTCCAAAAAAGGGCAGAGTGGCAGAGCTTACACACGTACATCCATGCACACACATCAGTGGCCTGGAAAAGGTGCACACTTGCAAACAACATACAGGAGGTGCTATTACTGTTTCCCAAACACTGCCCAAGGATTGAGGCAGATGCATGCTTGTGCACATGTCAGTGAACTCAAGGCTCACACAGTTGTGCATGCCCACGAACTGTGAAAGACACAAACCCTGGGGTGCACCAGAGTCCTTGCCTCTCACCCAAATTCCCCATTGCTTTCCTCACCACTCTGTATACCCCTAACCCTCCAGGGCCCTGGACCACCTCCCAAGGAACCACCCTTAGGCCCACAACGTGGCTACAGCTGTCTGAGACTGTACACCGCCCCAACAGACACATGGACCAAAACAGAGATCAGAGAAAGACCAGTCCCTCACTCAGACAACCGTGCCCAGGGCTGGACGGCAGGGCCCCTGGGGGCACAGTGGAAGCAGGTGGTCACTGCACGAAGATGCAGACACAAAGCGGAATGGACAGTGCCAGAGGTGGCTGTGTCCACGACTGCCGGGCCGCCCACGCAACACCCTCGCGCGAGGAGACTGGCTCGGAGACGTCTTTGTTCCGGTCCCCCGGGGTTGAGGGCAGGGAGGGGCCAAAGCTTTGTCCGAAGCCGGGCCCCCACCCGTCCCCGCGGCAACGTCAGGGTCGCATCGCAGAGCACCCGCCCTCCGATGCACAAAGGCGGTGGGCCCCGCCCGCGCCCACCGTGGGTCCGCGCACCTGAAGCGCGGCGAGTCCTTGATGCACTCCTCGAACTCCACCGTCATGGCTGCGGCGGCGCTCACTGGGCCGAGAACTGCGGCGCACCAAGCGGCATCCCCCGCGGCCGCCCGTGTGTCCCGCCCGCGTCGGTCGTGCTCGGCGCCCGCCCGCCCCGGAATGAGACCGCCGCGCAGCGGCCCGCCCCGCCTGTCACTGCCGGGGAGCGTCGCCAAAATCCACCGTCTCTCGCGCCGCCCGCTGTCACCGCCGGGGAGCGTCGCCAAAGTCCGCCCCCGCACGCTGTCAGTGTCGGAAAGTGCAGCCAAACGCCCGCCCAGGGTCCACAGAGGACAAGCTACGACAATCGGACTTCCGACGGTGTCCGCTGGACCGCGGGAACGTCGAGGGCGTGAGCCCCACCCGCCACAGCCACTCCGGCCGTTGCGCAACTTGGGGAGTTTGCGAAAACCACATATGGAAGGATTTGACTGGCATGCGGCGAGCAGCCACGCCCCGGGAGGACAGGACGGACGGGCGCCAGAATTGGGGGTTAAGGGAGGGAATGAGAGGAGGACGGAGGGAGGGCATGCGTGAGGACAGTGTGGGTCCCGCATAGAGGCAAGCAGGCTTCCGGCGGTGCAGCGTTAAGAGTGGGGGACCCTTTCGCAGGCCTACAGGCGACATACTTTGAACCCGGTCCCTAAGACTGGCCCCACCCCCAGAGGCTGGTCCCGGTCAAGCGCGCAGGCGCAGGGGGCGTGCCCGGGCCGCACCACACCGCGTGCGGCCGCGGCGCACCGCTGCTATGGGTCCACTGCTGGCGGCCGCGGGCGAGGGGCTGGTGCGTTACCTGGTGTATTTCCAGTATGTGGGCACGAACTTTAAGTACGTTTTCCAACCACTCCTCTTCCCGCCAGTCCTGCCACTTGGCCGGGAAGCCAGTGTGGAGGACGGGATGTCCGGGCGGGGGGGGGGGTGCCCTGCGGTCGGGGACAGGAAGTCCGGCCTCGGGGCGGCAGGGAGAGGGGTTCCTTGGACACAGGCCAGTAACTGTGGCCACCTCTGTCCGCAGCGGGGCCGCGGCAGTCAGAGGCGCCCAGCGCGCCGTCGGCGTGCAGAACTATCTGGAGGTGAGGTCCTTGCTGGGCCGGGGGGCGGTGGCTCCCACGATGTAGGAAGGGGGAGAGGAGAGCCCCTGTCGCGCTGGGTGAGTGGGGCACTGCCACCCTGTCCAGCCTTTCACCTGATCCTTGCAGGAGGCCGCAGAGCAGCTGAACTCTGTGAAGCCAATTAGGTTTACCCTGTCCAGCCGCACGGATGCCGGGGTTCATGCACTCAGCAACGCAGCGCACGTAGACATCCAGCGAAGCCAGGGCAGGCCGCCTTTTTCCCCCGAGATCTTGGCCCAGGCCCTCAACACCCACCTGAGGCACCCCGCCATCAGGTAAGCAGGGCAACCTGAGCACGGCCCTGTGGTTGGCCCTGTCCATCGCATGGGTAGCCTGGACCCCTAGAAATACTTTGTGTTCCCGCAGAATTTGGAGTTAAGGGCTCCAGGTACCAAGGTGTCACCTGGATGAATGGGTGGGCTCATTCCTCCCTTAAACCTGACTTGCTGCAACAGAGTCCTACAGGCCTTCCGGGTGCCCAGTGACTTCCATGCCCGCTATGCAGCCACCTCCAGAACATACCTGTACCGCTTGGTGACAGGCTGCACCTGCCAGAACCACCTGCCAGTGTTTGAACGGAATCTGTGCTGGGCTCTACCAGCAGAGTGAGTGTGAGCTTGAGTGGGAGGAAGGGGGCTCAGGCCTTCCTAGGACTCCCTTGTCTTGACTTTCTCCTGGCTCCCTTCCAGCTGCCTGGATGTGGCTGCCATGCAGGAGGCCGCTCAGCATCTCCTTGGGACCCATGACTTCAGTGCCTTCCAGTCGGCTGGCAGCCCAACTCCAAGCTCTGTTCGCACACTGCGCCACATATCAGTGTCCCCTGGCTTGGCCAGCCCCTTTGTCCTTTCCCAGGAGAGCAGGTAAGGATGGGTGGCCTTGTCCTGTGGCCCTGCTCGTGAGCACTAGTTGCAGTCTGAAGGTCACAAAAGCTGGTCAGCAGTGGACAGTGTGCTGGCATCCATGGGGCCTGGCTAGTTGGAGGGTATAGGCCAGAGATACTCAGGAGCCTGTAGCCATACCTTCCCCCCAGGCTGGGTCCCTGCCAGGCTAGGCAGCAGAGAACAGAATACTGCCTTTCTTCAAGGACCCTTGCCCTGCCCAGAGCTCTGCCCAGCAGATGGGTTTTGGCAGCTAGTGAAAAGGTTTCATTGCCGCTTGTGGTTCCGGCTCAGCCTGGCAGGAGGTGGGTTCCACTGCCCCTAGGATTGCCCAGTGGGCTTCCTGCCACGTGGCAGCTGCTGACCTCCCTAGCTGGGGCCAACTTCAAGGGAAGGGGGACTGCTGAGTAGTCAGGCTGGCTACACCCCTCCCTCAACACCCAGACCTCTGGCATCTCCAATGGCAAGCCTAGAGCTTCCTGTTGACCTCATTACAGCCTGTAGTTGTCTGCTTTGGATCCCCTTCCACTGGTCACTCTTGGGGACAGGTGGTCTGTTCTGAGATCCTGTGGAAAAGCCCTGTCAGCCTTCCTTGTCTGAAGCCATGTGGCTGTTAGGATGGCTAGGGCTGGCCCGTGCCTGGGATGTCACAGGTATCTGTGTCCCTAGGAGGCTGCAGTTCTGGACCCTGGAGTTTGAGAGCCAGTCTTTCCTGTATCGACAGGTGAGCAATCCTGGGCCTTCTTGGGAATGGGCACAGCCAGGTCCCTGTGCCAGCCTTGGTTGTGGTTACAGGTTCGGAGGATGACAGCTGTGCTAGTGGCTGTGGGGCTAAGAGCTTTGAAGCCAGTCCACGTGAAGGAGATTTTGGAAAGCAGAGACCCTCTGGGCAAGTACCAGGCTCGAGTTGCCCCAGCCCGGGGCTTGTTTCTGAAGTCAGTGATCTATGGGAACCTCGGGCATCCTGGTAAGAGGAGGTGGGCTGGTAAGGAGTCCGTGGTTTGCACCTCACTGAATCCTTCCCAAGGCTAAGTTCTCACTGGGGGAGGGAGTTCTTGGTATCAGTCAAAGCCCTCCTGTTGTCCTGGCAGATGGAAATCCCATAACCAGTGGGATGGGCAAGCATGTCCTGGAGTGAGCTGCCTCTGTTTCTGAGGTCCCATGAACAAGATCACAGAGGGCAGGGTGGCTTTTTGGCGTTGGCTTCTGCCCCAGGCTGATTTATGATTGGTCCACAGGTACAGCCTCCTATACCCTACAGGGTCCACAGTGTGGAAACTGCCAGTGATTCTGGATGTCATGCCATGGTTATTTGGCCCAGCTGCTGGACCTCACTGGGTTCATTTGACTCAGCAACCTGGAGCTACAGCTGTCCTGCCTGTCCCCTGTACCCCTTTGGCCTCCACTCACCACCTGGTTTCTGCCCCAGAGTGTGGTGGCTCAGGCTGGGGTATAGAAGACAGGTGTGACACCCCAGTGGCCTTTGGTCCTGTGGCTCTGGGAGTACCCCCCACTTCTCCCTCAGGGACTAGGAATAAGAATAAAAAGTGAAGTGGCCCCAGAGGCCTGTTTATTGCTCTGACACAAGGTGTACTTGGGCTGGCCTGTCATGGGACTGTCCTTGTGCCTGGACAGGGTCTGTGGCTAAGTCACAGGACTGGTTTACACAGATGCCATAGTCCTGAGGTTGGGGCTCAGGACCTGCTGGGCATGGTTGCAGGGCAGAGGTACATGCGTGGGTATGCAGTATGTCAGCTAGGGGTCTGGGGAAGACCCTTCTTGAGCAGTGTGGTGAGGAAGCTCCCCAGCTCCTCATCCTGTAGGAAAGGAGAGAGGACAGTCATCTCACCCAGCATATGAGGCACCCCAATCCTAGCAGGGCACACCAGTAATCCCCAGCACCCGTACCTGGTAGGTCCAGGAGACCAGCAGCACCTTGATACCTGGGTCCTCCGAATGGGCAGCAGCCTGGATGAGTATCGACTCCACAGTCACCGAGCCATCAGGGAGATGCTGCACACAGTGATCCTTCAAGGTGCTGAGGGGGAGGCCCAGTGAGACCCTGCCTTACCCTGGGATCCTGCAGGGTGCTCAGGGGAGACCTGGAGAGACCATGGCTTGTCTAGGGATGGGGATGTGGCCAGACACACACCTCTTGAGATGGCTGTAGACACGCAGAGCCATCTCCTGCTCCTTGCGCGTGTCCTGTAGGTGCACGCGGCAGGTGAAGCGCAGCTGATGCTCAGCTAGGCCCAGCTCCTTCAGGGCTTGCTCAGAGGACACGAGCCGGAAGCTCTGCAGGGCAGGGCAGGTCAGAGAGAGTGGTGTTGCTGCCCACCAACCCCACAGCCCATACTCACGCTGTCCTTCATGATTAGGGTGCCGTGCAAGAGCCTCGGTTTTTTGGCCTCAGGAAGCAGCCCTGTGAGGAGGGGACAGCCTCGTGAACATAGGTCCCCTACTGGCCAGCCATCCGCCTGTCCCATACTCCCACCTGCCCTCATACCCTGCGCCATCTCCTGCTTCAATAGCCCCAGGGAGATGCCCACAGGGATGCTGGGACTTGTGGGTAGCGTCACTGTCTCGCCGTTGGCTGGCATGTAGCAGCTGACCCCTGGGGGTACAGACAGTCTCAGTCCAGGCTGACCAGCCTTGCCTGCAGCCTGAATGGACCCTGCTGTGCTCCCCTGGAACCTGGGCACCTACGGAATTCCTGCTCGATCTTCTGCCGTAGGAACTCCATCTTCTTGGCTTCACCATGAACCAGCAGCACACTCTCTGGCTCCGCTTGCCCCACCAGCTGCATGATGCCCTTGGCATCAGCATGGGCGCTGAATGACATGTACTCCACCTGCATCTTAACCTCCAGCTGCAGAGTGGGCAGGGGCATAGTTACCACCGGCAGGGGCCTGGCCACCCACACAACCAGGGACAATGGTGAGGACTCACCACCTGTCGCCCCTCCATCTCCAGCTTGCGCTGCCCACTGAGGATCTTGTGACCCACAGTGCCCTGCACGCAGTAGCCAGGCATGATCACCTGTGGAGCAGGGACCACCTCAGCCTTCAGGAACTTCCTGGGATACCATGTCCACCCAGGCATCTCTTTCCCTCCTGAGCCCTGCTGCAGACCCTGGGGCCAGGCTGACATCCCACCATGGTGCAGTTACTCAGGACGCCAGAGAACTTCCTACCAGGTAGGTGGCTAAATCAGTCTAAGCTGACCAGATTGGACACTAGCACCCCCAATGAGAAGCAGCATGTCACCCAAGCCAGTGTGGGGACAAGTCTGTGAGCAGTGGAAGGACAGGGTAAGTGAAGGACCATTCCTCTGCCCTCACCTGTGGGTGCATCTCATGCCCCCCTCAAAGGCCCCCTGGGAGTGGCCCCACACCCAGAACCCTCACCATATTCTTCTCATTTCCTGCCCACTTCCGGAATATCTGCAGGGATTGACCTGCATGCAGCATCCCTGGTGTGGCAAACACAACCTGCAGGACAAATGGAGGTCAAGGCACAAGACTTATGCTGGATGTGCAGAAGCTACCCCACCTGGACCTTACCATGGGACCTGGGTTGTCAGCAAATGCCCTGTCAAAGGCCTTGATGTGCTTGAACTCAAACATGTTCCTCTGGACAAAAGTCTTCCGGATTTTCTGGTTGGTCCAGGTGATAAAGAGCTTGTAGTAGTGGTTGGCCTTCTCTGTCAGGCCCGTGGAGAAGTAGATGGGCACTTTCAGGTTCATGCGCTCCCTAAGGGCCCACCACCCTAGTCAGTGCAGGGCCACAGTAGAGAACACTGCCAGGGCTGGCCTGGGCTGCACAGCACCCAATGCACAGCACTGTGCAGCCTAGACCTTGTCCCATGAGGGCTGAGCCCCTGCTGTCTTGTCCATGCCACCAGAACCTTCTGCCTGTGCCATACAAAACATGGTGGATAGCATCTCCAGGGCTCTTGTAGGTAGGTTTGGGGATGGACCAGTGACCCTGACAATAGCTGACAGTGCTGGGGTGACTGTCCAGGCCCATAGGCAGCACCTCCACAAATAGTGAAGGACTAAGATGCCAGGGGCGGCCAGTGCTGCTTTGACTCTTCTGTGCTCACACCCTACTCAGCTGTGTAAGTAGCCAGTTCTCATTCATGGGGTACCCTCCCGGGGCAGGGCTCCCCAAACAGCAGCCCCAGCTGTACCTACCAGAAGGTCTCTAGCAGAATGCAGAGCTCCTGTGCACGGCCCAGTGCAAACACAGGGATCAGCACCTAAGGTAGGCGAGGCAAGCTCAGGGAAGTCTAGCAGGCTGCATGCTGTGTCTACTTCCCTGCCAAGCAGCTGCTATGAGAAACTCACTGGTGAACTCCACAGCTACAGGCAGCCAGTGTCTACTCAGGGGCATCCCAAGATGGAGGCCTTACCTGGCCCCAGCCTCTCTGCCCACAATCCTGGTCCCAGCCCCATGGTGGGGAAACTGGCAGTTCAGAGCCACTACCTTCCCACCACGCTCCACAGTCTCGTGGACCTTCTTGAGGAAGTCTCGCTCCCGGCAGCGCTTGGAATCACGGATAGTCGTGGCATAGGTAGACTCTGTGATGAGCAGGTTGGGGCGACACTTATCAATCCAAGCAGCTCTGCAAAAGGCAAGTGTGGCCCATGGTAGCCAGTTCCCACAGCTGCCAGGCTGGAAGCCACAAAGCAGGCCCTGGACTGAAGCGGGATTCCTGCTTCCAGGCGCTCCAGGGCCATGTGAGCCACTGACATACTGACCACGCCCTCACATGTGTGAGCTCCAGGGAGGCCTACTTACCCCAAATGCCTGTCTGGGGTCATGTTGTAATCACCCTGGCAAAGAAGGTGGCAATAAGGAAGACATTCCCACATGCAGAAGCCCCACCTGACCCCCAAGCCCTGCACTGACCGTGTAGACCACAGACTCTGAGCCCACTTTAATCTGGAACATGGCAGCCCCCAGCACATGGCCTGCATAGTAGGCCTTGATTTCCAGCTCATCATCCACCTGCAGAGGAGAGGGCTGAGCTCAGATGGGAGAGCAGGCCTGACAGGAAGCGGACAGCCCTGTGAGCATTTCATCAGTTCCTTTTTTTCTCCCATGATAACAAGGTCTCAACTGAAAGTAACCAAAAATGGACCAGCATAGGAAAAGCACAAGAGCTAACAAAATGTCAAAGGCTCTAAAAATGGAGCCTCCAGGCATGGCTTTTAAGAATCCAGGAGAACATCCAAAGAGAGAAATGCAGGACTAGAAGCTGGGGATTTAGCTCAGCAGCATAAGTGCCTGCCTGGCAAGCATGAAGTCATGAGTTCAATCCCTGGTTTTAAAAAAAGCAGGACTAGAAATGTGGGCAAAACTCAAAAAACTACCAAAAATGCAGAACTCCTAAAACTACGAAGTATGGTCTATGGATGTAGTTCAGCGGTAGAGTACTTGCGTATCACACATGAAGCCCTGGTTCACTTCTCACTCCTGCAAAAAAGGAGGGACAGCCGGGCATGTTGGCTCACGTCTATAATCCCAGCATTCCTGAGGCTGAAGCAGGAGGAGTTGCGAGTTCAAGACCAGCCTGGGCTACAAAGTGAACTCAAGGCCAGCCTGAACTGCATAGTGAGACCTTGTCTCAAAAAGACAAAAAAAAAAAAAAAAAAAGGTGGGACTTTAGAAAATATATCCTATGCATGGGGATTTAGCTCAATGGTGCTTGCCTGCCAAAACACGAGGTCATGAGTTTGATCCCCGGTACCAAAAAAAAAAAAAAAAGAAAAGAAAACATATCCTCATCAGGTTTGATCTGGGACAGAAAAAATTACTTTAAAAAAGGAACCAAGCATGGAAGCACATGCCTATAATCTCATCAAACATAAGGCTGAGACAGGAGGATTTGCATTAGAGGCCACTTTGAGTTATACAATAGCCCCCATCTCAATAAAAGGAAAGTAATGAATCAAAGTGTGTTCAATCCTAACACCAATCAATCAGTCCCAGAAGAGGAAAGAGAAGGGTAAAAGAAAAGAATCCCCTTTCTGAAATCTCAGCTGGCTAGACGTGGTGCACGCCTGTAATCTAAGCACTAGGAAGGCTGAGGCAGGAGGATCACTGTGAGGTCAAGACCAGCCTGGGATACAAAGTGAGCTCAAGGCCAGTGAGACCCTGTCTCAAAAAGCTAAAAAGAAAAAAGAAAAGGGATTTAGCTCAGTGGCATTAAGTGTATGCCTGGCAAGTGCAGGTCATGAGTTCAATCCCTTGTACAAAAAACAAAAAAATAAAACAACAACAAAAGAAATCTCAGCTGGCCTGCTCCTCTAGCTCAAAATTGTCAGGCCTCAACAGCACACTGCTGGTCTAGCTCACATATGTTGGGCAATGACATGGTTATCTGCATTGCCAACAGGCGGGCGCTGCTGCAGGGATGAAGAAACAGGCTCAGTGCTGTCCCAGGTCTGTAGTGCCCAGTGTGACCAATGGCTGCCATACCAAAAAAACAGGACATAAATTTTAGCCACAATCACTTGGACCATGAAACTGGGTCCTCAGAGCAAACAATTCCTACAGGTGGCAATTTGTAAAACAGGCAGACTAAAATGACAGAGCAAATGAGAGATGGCCCCTTCGATCTTTTTTAGGTACAAGGCCTGAAGACAGGTGAGATCTGAAGGAGTGCGACCTGGAATGCCTATGGCTCTCTTGTGACTGGCACAGTATCTTCCTAGGGTACAGGTCCTCAAACATTCTCTACAGAAACCCTCAAAAACAAGCTAGCCTTTGATTTCCAGTTACTCTGTTGGTGAAAGCTACCTAATTTTTCTGAGGCAGCTATCCATCATGGGAAAGGACTCTGGCAAGAGCTCACAAGGCAGACTACATGCAGCACAGCCAACAAAACATGTGCTCTGTTCGGCCACCTGTGCCTCCTCAAAGGCAATACAGCCACCACATGCAGGCCTTTCTGCCTGCAGTGGCTTCCAGGGCACACCCCACATGTCTCTGGGCCTTTGTCATGGGCCACTAGCCTTACCTCCCTGGTCCCCACTGGCCCCATTACCTGAAGCCATGGTGCCCATAAATAGCTGGCACCAGCCAGGAGGAGGCAGTAACAATGGCTGGGCCACCAGCTGACACTGACCCTCCTGGACACATTAAGCAAGCTGCAGAGATTTGCAAATGAAAAGAGAACTATGGTTTTGAGCTGACAAGTGGAGCTGGAGGCACATCTCGCTCATCTCTTGAGCCCTCATAAAGGAGGGCATGCCCCCATGCTCCCTAGCCATCCAACAGTCCAAAAAGGAAAAGTAAAAATGGTATTTTACAGCAAAAAGAAAAAGAATTGGGGGCTGGGGATTTAGCTCAGGGGCATAGACGCCTGCCTTGCAAGCAGGCAGTCGTGAGTTCGATCCCCAGTACCAATAAAAAGGAAAAAGACCAAAAAAAAAAAAAAAAAAAAAAACAAAAACAAAAAAACAAAAGAAAAGAAAATGCATGGTCACACACCTATGATCCCAGCACTTGGGAAGCTGAAGCAGGAGGCATGACCTCAGGGCCAGCCTGGGCTACATACCGAGACGAGACACTAACAAACAAAAAAAAGAAAGAAAAAGAAGGGCAGGATGTGGTATTTTACACCTATAATCGCAACACTTGGGAGGCTGAGGGAGGAGCACTGTGTGTGGGAGGGTCCCTGGTGAGTTCAGAACAAGCCTGTACTATGTTGTAAGACTCTGGCCAGGCATGGTGGCACACTCCTGTAATCCCAGCACTCGGGAGGCTGAGGCAGGCAGATTGTTTCAAGTCTGAGACCAGCCTGGGCTACAAAGTGAGCGCAAGGCCAGCCTGAACTACATAGCAACACCCTGTCTCAAAAAGACAAAAATAGAAGACAAGTGAAAGAAATCCATTCATAGACAAATAAGAGTCTCTGCCAACAGTCTAGTTTTGTTTAGACAAAAGGTAAATTATGCTGCGTAAAATGTGAAAACTCGTAAGGCCTAGTACCAGTATGTGCATAAAACTGAGAAAACAGTGACCACACCAAGTGGTAATAATGTGTCCTTGGGTTGTAAACACAGCTATATGGAAACCAAGTATAGAAACCAGGAGAGGGATAAAGGAATTTCCAATGTTCTAAGACTTGTGTTATCCAGGAACAAACGTTCAGTGACTTAAGGCTTTTGTTGGCATGAATATGCCTTGTAATCACTAAAAGAATTGTAAAATAAGCACCGGCCGTGGTAGCTCACGTCTGTAATCCCAGCGCTCAGGAGGCTGAGGTGGGACGATCATTGAGAGTTTGAGACCAGCCTGGGCTACAAAGTGAGCTCGAGACCAGCCTGTACTACATAGCGAAACCCCATCTCAAAAAAGACCAAAAAAAAAAATTGTAAAATATATAACTGCTAAACAAGAAACAGATTTTAAACTAGCAATTAATCCAAAAACAGGCAACACGAAAAAGATAAAAACAAATAAGCAAATAATTAAATGGTATGTCTAACCCAAGTAATCTTATTAGTCATAGAATCAAAAATGTATTATCTATGAACCAGGGATATAGCTCATACAGCACCTACCTGCAAGTGCAAGGTCATGAGTTTGATTCCCAGTACAAAAAAAAAAAAAAAAAACAACGAAAAACCACTCAAAAACGTACCATGTTATCAGATAGTAATTAATTTTTTTTTTTTTTGTCTTTTTCCTTTTTATCAGTACCGGGGAGTAATTAATTTTTTAAAAAATTTTTTGGTGCTGAGGACTGAACCCAGAGTCTTACAACACGGAAATAAATCCCTAACCCCTATCAGGCTGTAATTTAAAAAGAAAGCTACATTCTACTTAAAAGAGCCTTATTTAAAATATAATGCACTAGGAAGCTGAGGCAGGAGGATCTTGGGGTTGGAGGCTAATTTGGGCTACATAATTGAGTTCAAGGCTAACCTGGACTGCATTGCAAGGCCCTATCTCAAAAAAATAAATAAATTGGGGCCACGGATTTAGCTCAGTGGCATAAGCACCTGCCTGGCAAGCACACAGTCATGAGTTCAATCCCTGGTGCCAAATAAATAAATAAATAATAAATACAATACAGGGAACAGAAGTACAGGGCTGTAATCCCAGCAACTTGAGAGAGGCTAAGGCAGGATAGAAAGTTTGAAACCAGCCTCAGCAGCTTAGTAAAACTTCATCTCAAAGAAAATAAAAGGCTGGAAAAAAAAAAAAGACTGCGCGTGGTGGCACATGCCTGTAAACACAGCACTCATAAGACTGTGGCAGGATGACCGCCATGAGTCCAAGACCTGCCTAAACTACATAGTAAGACCCTGTCTCAAAAACCAAAAAACAAAACAAACAAAAAAAGCAGCTAAGGATAAGGTTCAGCTGGACTGCTCTGGATTTAATTGCCGGGGTGTGGGCGGAGTTCTAAGTAAAAAAAGTAGAAAAAGGTACACCATGAAAACATTCCAAAAATGTGGGTGGAGCTGCAGGCACCATCTGGAAGGCCCAGACAACTAGATTTTAAGATAAAAGTATTACTTAAGAGAAACAGGGCTAGGGATTTAGCTCAGTGGCATAAGCGCCTGCCTGGCAAGGATGAGGTCATGAGTTCGATCCCCGGTACCAAAAAAAAAAAAAAAGAAGAAAAGAACACACATGCTTCACATTGACAAGAGCTTCACTAAGGATAAAATGCTCCAAATCATGCAGAACATCTGATGAGGAAATACACAGCTGCACCTTTGTGAGAAGGCTCCAAGTCCCTCTTCCCTGGCTGAGGTCACTCCAGGCTGGTAATAGGCACCCTTTGTCAACTTGTCCTCTGGCTTCTGCCTCCCTTCTGCCTGACACAGAGGACACTAGCAAGTCTGGTAGCAGAGTTTGTCCCAATCCCCAGTGTGCCCTGATAGCACATGTGTGCTTCTGAGGCCAGCCTGGTGGCCTCTTCAATACCATGTGGGCAGAGCCAGGTGGACCGGACTTGTGCATACCAAGCCATATGCCCACGCGCTATGCAGAGTGAAATGCCAACTCTGTGCTGGACTTGTGCCTGCTCCAGGGCCATTCCTGGTTCCTACAGGACTGGCCAGAGACAGGGTAGCACAAGTCCAGGGCTCCTGGGCATTCTAGACGGTGCCTGTAGCTCCTGACCTGGACTGTTTGGTGCAGATGGACAGCCACCACCTTCTTCATGCAGTCTTTGATCATCTGGGAAGTGAAGAAGTTGGCCTCGCCCTTCTTGTCCACAGCAATCTTGCGGTAGTCCTCCAGGAGGATGGGACAGATGGCCTGGGTGGGGTGGGTCATGTAGATGGGCCCGTCGTAGCCCACCATCTCACTGAAGTAGGGCAGTGCCCCACAGTGGTCTAGGTGGAAGTGGCTGTGGGGACAGCACCACTCAGCCAGAGACCACCCCACAGCCGGCCCATGCTAGTTCTGGGCTTGTGGTCTCTCTGCCCATCCATGGCGGGCCTCCTGTGTGCCAGACACATCCTGGGTACTGAACAATCAGAATGAGCAGATGTGAAAAGCACCACCTTCCCCTAATGTATGGGCTGGGCAGAGGCCTAGCAAAGCATCAAATCACATATCAACAGCAACATCTCTGTGAAAAAACATAAGGCTCTGAGGGTACACTGCACTGGGAGGGCAGCCACTGGCTCACGGTCCTGGGGACAGAGGGCGTGCCCAGCCCACATAGGCAACACCCATGGCCAAGTTCAGAGGAATGAAGACCACAGGAGCCCTGCAATGAGGGTGATGCTTCTGGGGTGGGCTGCAGGGGGATGGGGACAGTCTGTGGTCAGCAGGGGTCAAGAGGGGTGGATCTTGGATGAGGAGAGAAGAGGAGGAAATGTGTCTATCCCTGGCTTAGCCCAGTGGGGCGAGGAGGTTACAGGTTGGTGGCTGGACTGTTGGGGTCAGGGCCAACTCAGACATCTGGAGTGGCCAGCAAGGGTTGGCATTCCTAAGACAGCTAGAAGTTAGGGAGAGGAGCAAGCAGACACTGGACGTGTGTGACCACAAACTTGGAGCAAGTGACAGCTACACTACACTGCTACAATAAGAATGAGCAAATGTGAAAAACACTGCCTGCCCTAATGTATGGGCAGAGGCCTAGCAAAGCATCAAATCATGTATCACTGCTACACATAGCCAAAAGACCTTGCAAGCCAGAAGGGCCCAGGAGCACTGCTCTGGCACTAGTGGGACAGCCAGCCTGGCTCTAAGCCCCAGGCCTATTTTCCCTGGCTCTCCCTCAACTTCCCAGGGAAACTGCCAGGCTCTGGTCAGAGGGCCCCCAACTCTGAGGGGCTCATCTCCCTATGAGGAGTGTCAGCCACATAGGTTCCAGGTAGTGGGCAGCTCACCAGAGTCCAGACTGTACTCACCTGATGATCACACAGTCCAAGAAGTCGGTCAGCCGACCATTCTGGGTGATATACGAAAAGTCAGGAAAGCGCCTCTGAGAACCAAGAGCAAAGGTCAAAAAGTAGCTGCAGGGGCTGGGGATTTAGCTCAGCGGCATAAGTGCCTGCCTTGCAAGCAGGCAGTAGTGAGTTCAATCCCCGGTACCGATAAAAAAAAGACAAAAAAAAAAAAGTAGCTGCTGCCTTAGGTCTCCAGACAGCAGAGAGGCCAGCTGGTGCTCTAGGGCAACCAGAGAAAGAGAGGTCAGTGCTCTACCTGGAGTACCATCTATGCTACCATGCTTATATGCATCCTGGGAGGGTCCTGCTGCTGACTGAGACCACTGTTGATCTCTCAAACTAGAATCTGAGCACTGTGCCCAGCTACAGGCTCCTTCAGGGCCAGCAGCTCTCTCTCCTCAGTCAGCCTACCAGTGTGACCCACTGTGTGCATGGGTACGGTTGCCCAGGAATACCCACCACTGCCCACTCCCCTCAAGCCAAGGTCCAGGGACTTTGCAAAGGAGCAGGTGGATGGTGGCCTCCCCGCTCCCAGACTACCACCCAAAGGACTCACATCATCGTTGAAACCCATGTGCATGCCACAGTCCAACATGACATTCTTGCCCGCGATGGAGACCAAGATACAGCTACGGCCCACATCCTGGCCAGCACCTGCTCAAGCGGGAGGGCAGGTTAGGGGCATAGCCATGTCCCTCACCCTGCCTCCCAGGATCCTCAGGCCTTCAGTGGGAGGCAACTGGACCTCAAGGCCACTCTCTACAGATGAATGGTGGGGAAGCAGAGCTACCTCCACGTCACCAGGCACAGATGCAGCAACTGTGCCACAGTACTGGGCACTGTCACTGCTACAGCACCGACAGTCAAGCTGTGGCTCTGCAGGGCCTCAATGGCACTCCCCAGAAGTTCAGGTCCTTTCTAGTTCCTCAGCCAATTTCTCAGGCATTTGAGAAAGGCCTGTAGGCCAAATTCTGGTGCTAGGGACCCCTTCACAGAGCCACAGCAGCGGGACCTCCATGGGGTCACAGCCCAGCCAAAAGGAGATAGGGCCCTGGCAAAACCCAGTAACTGTAGCCCCAGTACAGACACACTGGCCCAGGGGGCCCAACAGCACTGTATCTCCTTGAGCATCACCAGATCAACATGAGTCCCTTTGTGCTGATAACCAGGCACCCCCACCAGCACCCCTAGCCCACAGCCAGATGAGGTGAACTCATTCTCCTATGTGATGTGGCCATCTGCCACCTCCCCCAGCTTCTAAGGAGTGCACAGGGAAAGGAACAGGACCTGAGCCTCACCAGGGCACTGTGAACAGCAAAGGGCCTGGCTTCCATCCTTACTTCAACCCAACTCCCCTTGCTGGACACACGAACCATTCAGCCACCATCACCACAAATGGCACAGTAGCCTAGCCAACCCATTAGGTAGACAGTCAGTAGCAGGGCCTTGGGGTCTTTTTTTTTCTTGGGGGGATAAAAGGGGTTGAACCCAAGGCTTTACTCATGCTAAGCAAGCATCTACCACTGATCCACATCTCCATCCCTTTATCTGAGACAGTCTCAATAAGTTGAGACTTGAGACCCAGCTGGCTTTAAACCTGCAATCCTTGGCTTCAGCCTCCCAAGCTGCCCAGATTATAGGCCTGGGAGAAACGCATGCCTGACCCAAATAAGTGTGTTTATTGCAGGCCTGCCCCCCCCCATGGTGTGAGCTCCTAAGGGCAGAATACCTCCTGTCTCCTTCCCACTGCACCTCAAGTCCTAAAGGCATGCCAGACTCAGAGCATGGCAAGAGGGGAAGGGTTGTCCCTTTTACAGGCAGGGCCAGAGGTAATGGAGTCATCCCTGGAGACACAATCAACAAGTGGGGGGACAGGGCTAGTGTCCAGATTCCAAGGCCCCAGTGCTTTGATACTGGTTGCCCTTCCTTCAATGGGACCCACAACTGCAGGGAGTAAGAACAGTGGCCTGCTCTGTTCAGTGGGGAAACAGTCTCAACCCAGCACATGGGAGGAGATAGCACTGAGCTCACTTTGCAGCCCAGGCTGGTCTCAAACTTGCAACAATCCTCCTGCCTCAGTCTTCTGGGTGCTGGGATTACAGGCATGCGCCCCCACACTCGGCTGTTTTTTGTCTTTTTTAAAAATTGAACTTAGGGCCTCATGCATGCTAGGTAAGTGTTCTGTACTGAGTTACATTCCTAGTCCTCTCTCATTCTGATACAAGGTTTCACCAAGTTCCCTCGGCTGGGCTAGAATTTGTGATCCTCCTGCCTCAGCCTCCCAGAGTGGCGGGATTACCAGCATGCGCCTCAGCGCCTGCCTCCAAGTCTTTAATTATTTATTTAATGTTGCAGATCAGGCATGATGAAGATCACACTGAGTGCTGACTGCTGGTAACATGGGAGTAAGCTAATGATGGCGGTGGAGTGGAGTGTACCAGAGGGTCCTGACACTGCAGTACACGCATAGAAGAGGCCTTGTAGCTGCAGTCAGCACCACAGTCCGCAGGATGCAGAGGCAGCACTCGGAACTCACTCCATCTCGTGGCCGCCTAAGCCTCCCTGATACCACGCAGCAAGCCGTGGGCCAGGATCCGAACCCGAACCGTTCAACCCCGCTCCGACCTGCTCCTCGCCGGCCCGGGAACCAACTGCCCCCGCGCCTTCAGGCGCGCGGTGGCTGCCGACCGCAGCCCCAGCGAGGGGTTGGCTCACGAGGTTCGTGGGCCACTAAGGTCTTACCCAAAGGAGTGACTCTGATTTCAGGCATGGCGGGGCAGCGCTCTGCGTTCCCTAGTCCACCGCGCTTCTCTGGCAGGAAAGGTGGGAGATGGCTGACAACGACCCGAGCCAGCAACCAGCCACAGTAGACCACACCAACCTAGCCAAGCTACTCAAACTTCCGGCCCGCTCGCCGGAAACGCAAACCGGTTGTTCGGGTCTTGATTGGGCTAGCCCGCAACCAATCAGAACTGGGGGGCGGGGCCAGACCGGGCGGCAACTGACCACTGGCGGGCGGCAGGCGGCTGGCTGCAGGACTACGCGCGGCGGGCGGGGCGCAGCCGACGCCTAAGTGGAGAGGGGCCGAGAGCGAGCTGGACTTCTGGGGACTCTGAGCCACTGACACCCTTCCCCTCCGCCCGCCACCGCTGCGCCCGCCGCCCCCCCCCCCGCCAGAGGAACGTCAGGTGCGCCTGGCCCAGGTGAGGCTTGCGATTTCCCTGGACAACCCCCAACCATCGTCCCCCGGGAAGCGCAGAGGCTCTTGCCAGCTGCCCTTCCTACATCCCTGCGTCCGGCGACGCGTCCTGTTGGCCTCAGGCTTCATCCTGGGAAGTACAGCCGGGCCTGAAGCTTCCCAGGCGGGAGGGGCCCCGAAAAGGGACCCCAGGAACTCAGAGAAGGCGGGGCACGCTAGAGACTCAAGGACCAGAGGCCCTGGGCCCCGGGCCTCAGGCCACCCTGAGATGAGGGACTGAGCCACAGGGTGCTGTGAGTGTCTTAAGAGCCCAGGTGTCCTGCACCTATCTGGAGCTCTCAGCACAGCTAGGGTGCTGAGGGCCTTGCAAGGATGCGGGCCAGACGGAGACTCCCAGTACCAAAGGGCATAGGGGAACCCAGGGCAGTGGGGTGAGGTGCAGCCTCAAGGAAGTCCTGAATGAAGCCTGTCAGACCTGCCTGACAGGGTCTGCCCTGGGCACCAAGCTAAGGCCCTTGAGGCACCAGGGAAGGTGGGGGCTGTGTGCTTAGAGGCACCCACTCAAAGTATGGACACTGAGATGTTTGTGGAATGACTATAAGAATGCAAGCAGAAGCCGGGCGTGGTGGCTCACACCTGTAATCCCAGCACTCGCCAGGCTGAGGCAGGAGGATCATTGCAAGTTCGAGACCAGCCTGGGCTACAAAGTGGGCTCAAGGCCAGCCTGAACTGCATAGTGAGACCCCTGTCTCAGAAAAGACCAAAACAACAAAAAAAGAATGCAAGCAGAACTTGAAGCCCAGCCCTACCTCAGGGCCTCTTTCCTAGGCCATTTTCAGAATGTTTCGAGGAGCTAGAGAAGCCTGTGATAGTATCCCGAGTATAGTGAGACATTTGGCCTAGCTGCCCTGTGTGCGATGTGTATGATGAAGATTGGTGCCCATCTACCCAGCAGGTGCCACCTCCACCACCCGTGCTCTAGCTCCAGGTGTGCAGTGGCAAGCAAGGAGGGGGAGATCTGCCCAGCCACCCTGCCCATATGCTCTTCTGCTGTGTCCACAGTATTAATCTCCTAACCTGCTGGGTCAGAATTACTTACTATCTCAGGGGCCTGAGTTTTGTGAGTCTGCCCCCCTCTCATTAGCATTTTGCCTTGAGAGTGCAGAGCTCCAGATGCAGCCCCATGCTCTATCCTGTGCCTACTTCTGAAACATTTATCCAATGCCTGAAAACAGATGGGAACTCTAGGGAGACAATCAAAAGACAGATAAGCAGGAAACCTAGGCAGGGAGGCCTGCCGCAAAAGAGTTGGAGCAAGGTGGTCCCGTGCAGGGACTGCCGAGTTAATGGCTTGAATAACAAGCAGAGGCCATGCCAAGGCCCAGACAAGAAGCACAGCGTGATTGCCCAGTATTTCTGAGTATGGCTGCTGGTGAGGGAGCTTTGTATAAGGGAACAGGGCCTCTCCATGGGCCTTCAGAGGGCAATTTCAGGACCCAAGCTCTTTCTTTTAAGGCCTCCACCACCTTTTCCCTGGGGTAGGCAGGAAATGAGCCATGGAATGAGCTGGCCAGCAAGAAAGCCCAGAAGTTCTATGTAAAATTGTGTTTCAGTTCATGTTGGAAAATGGCTGGTTCAGAGGCAGACTTCAACCTGAAAGTCATCCTGGTCAGTTTTAAGCATTGTCTCAACGAGAAAGAAGAGGTGCTGCTGGAACACTACATCACCAGCTGGAAGGGGCTGGTCAGGTGTGTGCGGGGGGGGGGGGGGCCTGCCTGCCAATAGGAGGCCAAGCTGCAAGTGGCAAGTGGCAGTGCTCCTAGCCAGCATGCATGGCTAGTATATGCTTCTTGCCTGGCACTGGGTACAGAGCAGGCGCTGGTGGGCCATTCTCAGTTGCCTTGCCCTTCTTCCAGGGAGACTGTCCATTAGTACAGGACAGATGATGTCCCTTGAGCAGCAGGCCAGCTGCTTGGCCCCTATTCAGGGCCTCAAGCTCTTGTTTCCTATATAGGTTTCTGAACAGCCTGGGCTCAGTCTTCTCATTTATCTCCAAGGACGTAGTCTCAAAGATCCACATCATGGAGCACCTGAGGAGCAGCCCTCAGTGTGAGCACTACATGAGCCTGCAGTCCATGATGGCCTACGAAATGGGAAATGGGCTGGTGGACCTGGATCGCCGCTCCCGCCACCCTGACTCAGGCTGCCGAACCATGCTGCGCCTGCACCGGGCCCTGCACTGGCTGCAGCTATTCCTGGAAGGCTTGCGCACCAGCCCTGAGAATGCACGCACCTCCACTCTCTGTGTTGACTCCTACAATGCCTCGTTGGCTGCCTACCACCCATGGATTGTGCGCCAAGCTGTCACAGTGGCCTTCTGCACTCTGCCCTCGCGCAAGGCCTTCCTTGAAGCCATGAATGTGGGGTCCCCTGAGGAGGCTGTGGAGATGCTAGGCGAGGCCCTACCCTTCATCAAGCAAGTATACGATATCTCCCAGAGGCTCTACACTGAACATTCCCTGCTAAATTTGCCCTAGTGGCTGGTGACCAGGCCAGGCAGCTCTCCCTGCTTCGGGACTTGGGCAGGCCAAGGCCTGTACTCTGCACACAACTTTTTGGGTGCTGCTGTCACCCCTGCGAGCTGAGCTTGCCAGAAGCTGTGGACTTGTCCGCCTCTGAGCTGTAGCCTAACCCTCAGCTTCAGTTACACACATGCTCAGTTCAGGCCCTCACTGAGGACCTGGTGAGTTCAGCAGCCAGAAGGGTTGTCCCATTGCTATGTGTGAAAGGTGTATGATCACAGGTCCCTTGGGCGTAAGGGCTATGTCCTCCTCTAGCCACATGCTTAGTTTCCCATGCCTATCACAGGCCCAGGACAAAGGAGGGACAGGGTGTCTGTGCCAGACAGGTAATCTCGGTCTCCTCCATACCCCTGGTGAAGGTCCAGGGTTGGTGGCTCTCTTCTTGCCCTTTGTCTCCTCTTTGTTGGCCTCTGCATGCAGAAAATGCCACTGGCTTTCTGTGTAGGGCTCCTAGAAAGTCCTGGGAAGGCCTCCTCCAGAGTCCCTGTAGGCATCAGCTCCCAAGGGAACATTACAAGGCACCCCAGCCCAGCTTGAGGTTCTAGGAGCTGAGCCAGGCCTCGTCCTCCCCAGCCAGCAGTGGCCACACTCTTTCTTCCCTGTCCTATTACCCCTATCTCCACAGTGATCAGAACAGCCTGATGGGGCATGGTGTCAGAAGGGGCCAGGCCTGTGCCTACCTGACAGCTACTACCCAGTGCTTGGGGACCTGACCTCTCCAACTGGCTTTTACACTGGACTTAGGACAGACCAGAAGATAGTGTCTATAGGGCAGCTAGTGCATCAATGCGAGCTTACAGGATATATCTGGTCCCTGATGTATGTGGTATTCTCCAGAATAATAAAATTACACTATGGGACTGGGTATGGCATTCAGGATGGGTACTGGGGTGTATCTTGGAGGACTCAGCAAAGGACACCAGGCACAGAACTGAAGCATACACTCCCTGATCCTAAGGGCTCAAAGGGCCGTTTCAACTATGGGGACACACTACCTGCCTGTGACAGCAATCAGGGTCAGGGGGAGGTGCTGCTTTATTCTTATCCCTGGAGGACATTAGCTGGGTCATGCACCCCACACTTTTCAGATGAGAAAACAAACTTGTCCGGGGGGGTCACTCCCTGGGGACCTGGATCAGACGGGGAGGCTGGGGCCAGCCACACGATGCAGGCAGAGAGGCCCAGGCTATGGCCACTGGAGGCAACAAGCAGCAGCTGTACCGGCAGAGGCTGCACACAGATGGGTCCTCTTAGCCCTCTACCTTGACCTCAGGCTCTGCCCACCCACCAAGAGCCAGTGTTCTCATGGGGCTGGCAATGAAGGAGTGGCTGAATAGACACCTGAGTCCACATAGGCCAAGGAGCAAGGCCACAAGTGCAGCTCAGCATGTGCTGTACATGGGTTTGCTGTGTGTGCACCTTATGGGGCCTCCAGGGTGGCAGGGAAGAGCCAAATATCTTCTGATGGGCCCCAGCTGTGGTTAAGACTGCCCAGGACCTCCACTCCATCCAGCAGAGCCAAGAGCCTCCACCTTTCCTATCTGTGGAGGAACCTTCTGTGTCCTTGAGGTCTTCCCCAGAACCAGAGCCCAGCAGGGAGTGGCTACAGCCCTCCCTCCCACCACCCAGACGCACACCTGGGGCCAGCAGCTGGAGCCTATTTGGTTACAGCCCTTGCTCCCTCATTTGCATGAACCCCTCCTTTGGGCCCAGCTATAAGCTTGTCCTGGAGGTGGCACCTGCACACCAGCCAGGGGACACCCTATGCAAGCACAGCCAGCCACAGAGTGCCAGTAGCTTCCAGGAGTTGGCACCAGGGCAGTGGAACAGTATGGCAGGACCCGTGTGGGGTCACCTGTAGCCCTCTCTAGACTGACTGTGGACTTGGATTAGAAGCCAGAAACTTCCTAGGTGTTTCTGTGTCTGGAAAAGACCTACAAGGCCCTGCCATGCCCTCATCCCTGACAGAGCTGGGCCTTAGGGCCTTGGATGCTCACAGTATACCAGTTGCTCTCAGAGGGGGCAGCCATGGGGCCTGGCACAGGCAGGAGCCAAGACTACAGTCAGCACCCACTCAGAAGCTACCTTCCCAGTCACTGTGGGCCTAAGCGCCTAGTGGGAATGACAAGAGTCTGACAAGCAGGGCACATCAGCAATCCCAGCATTTGAGAGGCGGAGGCAGAAGGATCACAAGTTCAAGGCCAGCCTGGGAGAGAGAACCTGTTACAAAATAAAACAGGCTGATAGGTAGGTAGTTCAGTGCCAAGGCCCTGAGTTCAGTCCCTCAAAACAAAAAAGTCCTATGTGCTTGAATGTTCAGGGCTCTGGATGCTGAGGACGTGACATGGCCCCTGGAACTTGGCAGATGAGCATAGCACTGGTTTTGTTAAACAAATCCTCTGCCCCTCCCCACAGTCTCACTACATATCTGGGGCTCCTGAAACGCCTTGCTTTCTTTGCTGGAAGCTGCCACCTGCCATGCCAGCGGTGGCTGTCCTGGGCCTCAGCCTCGTGGCTCTCCTGGGCCTTGGGAAGGGGGCCTTGTTATGCCTGTCCCGGCAATTCAGGATGCAAGGGGATTATGTACTGGGAGGGCTCTTCCCCTTGGGCTCTGCTGAAGAGACTGAATTGAACCATAGGACGCGACCTGACAGCATCATGTGCCCCAGGTATGGAGGTGACATCCGGGGAAAGGGAGGTGAGGAGGCTGTGTGTCCCTGGGTCTGTGTTCCCAGGCCTGGGGTGAGATGCCAGCCACCCATGATTCTGTGTGGCTTCAGGTTGTCGGCCACTGGCCTGTTCCTGGTGATGGCTTTAAAGATGGCTGTGGAGGAAATCAACAACAGTTCCACTCTGCTGCCCGGGCTGAAGCTGGGTTACGACCTCTTTGACACATGCTCAGAGCCTGTGGTTACCATGAAGCCCAGTCTCATGTTCCTGGCCAAGGTGGACAGCCGCAGCATCGCCGCCTACTGCAACTACACACAGTACCAGCCCCGTGTGCTGGCTGTCATTGGGCCTCACTCCTCGGAGCTTGCACGCATCACAGGAAAGTTCTTTGGCTTCTTCCTCATGCCACAGGTGGGCCCACTACTCCTTGTGTCTCCCCACTATCCCTGCCTGCAAGAGCTCCCCATCAGGAGATGCCTCTGGGACATTGCAGGTCAGCTACGGTGCCAGCATGGACAAGCTGAGTAACCGGGAGACATTTCCATCCTTCTTCCGCACGGTGCCCAGCAACCGAGTCCAGCTGGAAGCCATAGTGACGCTGCTGCATCATTTCAGCTGGAACTGGGTGGCTGCCCTGGGTAGTGATGATGAGTATGGTAGAGAGGGTCTGAGCACCTTCTCAAACCTGGCCCATGCACGGAACATCTGCGTTGCACATGAGAGCCTTGTGCTTCTGCCTCGCACTGACAGCCCATGGCTAGGCAAGGTGCAGGATGTGCTGCACCAGGTGAACCAGAGCGAGGTGCACGTGGTGGTGCTCTTTGCCTCAGAAAAGGCTGTCTACTCCCTGTTCCAGTACAGCATCCGCCACAGCCTCACGCCTAAGGTGTGGGTGGGCAGTGATGCCTGGCTGATGTCAAACCTGGTCATGACACTGCCTGGCATCCATCAGGTGGGCACTATTCTTGGGTTTCTGCAGCAGGGCGCTCTCCTGCCGGAGTTCTCCAGCTACATGGAGACCCAACTGTCCTTGGCCGCTGACCCAGCCTTCTGTGCCTCCCTGGGTGCAGAGCAGGACCTGGAGGAGGATGTGGTGGGGCCACGATGCCCTCAGTGTGATCAAATCACATTGCAGAACCTGTCAGCTGGGCTGGTGCACAACCTGTCGGCTGGGCAGCTGCACTACCAGATCTTTGCCACCTATGCAGCCGTGTACAGTGTGGCTCAGGCCCTCCACCACACCCTGCGTTGTAGCACCTCCAGCTGTCCCGCACAGGAGCCTGTGAGGCCCTGGCAGGTAAGCACAGGGCAGGGGCTACAGGATCACAGGCCAAAGCCAGTCTCGGTGGTCTGTAGCTTTTGGGTCAGCCTTGCCCCACCCTTCCCCATTGTCCAGCTCCTGGATAACATGTACAACATGAGCTTCCGTGTGCGTGGCCTGGAACTACAGTTCAATGACACTGGAAATGTGGCTATGGAGTATGAGCTGAAGATGTGGGTGTGGCAGAGACTGACACCCAAGTTGCACACTGTGGGAACCTTCAATGGCAGCCTCCATCTGCAGAATGCGCACATGAACTGGCACACACCAGACAACCAGGTAAGTGCAAGCATGTGGCCCTAGCCATGTAGGATGTCCACAGCCAGGTATGGCCCAGGTGTTTGGAATGTCTCTGGTCTGGGAGGCACCCAGCCCCATGAGCTTGACCGGAGGTCCCATGCCAGGTGCCAGTATCTCAGTGCTCCCAGGAGTGCCGTGAGGGCCAGGTACGCCAGGTGAAGGGCTTCCACTCCTGCTGCTATGACTGTGTGGACTGCAAGGCAGGCAGCTACCGGCAGAACCCAGGCAAGTCACCTACCCAGCCATGGTCTGTACAAGTTGGGAGTCAGTCCCCCCAAACCTGGTTGCAAGGCTGACAGGGAGGTCAGAGCCCACGGTGGCTGTCCAAGCCCACAGAAACCCTTCTCTCCTGCCTCCTACAGATGACCTCACCTGCACCCTCTGTAACCAGGACCAGTGGTCCCCAGAGCGGAGCACGCGCTGCTTTCCCCGTATGCCCAGGTTCCTGGAGTGGAGTGATCCACCCGTGCTGCTGCTGCTCTTGCTGCTGGGCCTGGTGCTGGGCCTAGTGCTGGCAGCCCTGGGGCTCTTCATTTACCACAGGGACAGCCCACTGGTCCAGGCTTCAGGGGGGCCACTGGCCTGCTTTGGCCTGGCCTGCCTGGGCCCCGTCTGCCTCAGCATCCTCCTATTCCCGGGCTGGCCAGGGACTGCCAGGTGCCTGGCCCAGCAGCCCATGGCCCACCTCCCGCTCACAGGCTGCCTGAGTACACTGTTCCTGCAAGCAGCTGAGACCTTCGTGGAGTCAGAACTGCCACCTGCCTGGGTGGCCTGGGTACACAGCCATGTTCGAGGCCCCCGGGCCTGGCTGCTAGTGCTGCTGCTGGTCCTGGTGGAGGCAACACTCTGCAGCTGGTCTCTCACAGCTTTCCCGCCCAAGGTGGTGATGGACTGGCAGGTACTGCCCAGGGAGGTGCTGGTGCACTGCCACATGCACTCCTGGGTGGGCCTGGGCCTGATGCATGTCACCAACATCACACTGGCCTTCCTGTGCTTCCTGGGCACCTTCCTGGTACAGAGCCAGCCTGGCCACTACAACCGTGCCCGTAGCCTCACCTTTGCCATGCTGGCCTACTTTGTCACCTGGGTCTCCTTTGTGCCCCTTTACACCAACATGCAGATGCTGTACCAGCCTGCTGTGCAGATGGGTGCCATCCTCCTCTGTGCCCTGGGCATACTGGCCATCTTTCACCTGCCCAAGTGCTATCTGCTGCTATGGTGGCCAGAGCTCAACACCCCTGAATTCTTTCTAGGCCAGGGACCAAGTGACACCACAGATGGGAGTGGCAGTGGGGGCAGGGACAGGGCTCAGGGAGAGCCTGAGTGACCCCTAACCCTAGGACCTCAACTCCAATGAATTCAGCCCCTGTAGAGATCCTCAAAATCTGGACCAATAACCTCCTTTTTTTTTTTTTTTTTTTTCCATTTTTATTGGTACCGGGGATGGAACTCACAACTGCCTGCTTGTAAGGCAGGCGCTTATGCCGCTGAGCTAAATCCCCAGCCCAAACCTCCTATTTTTTATTCTAACTACAAGCTGACCTTGACCTTGAACCCAGGGCTGCACTGTGTGGGAGGGGTCCACGAGGCCTGCTCCACTTTCCCAAAGGGCTCCCAGAGGTTCCTGGGGGCCCACAACTACTCAGCTAGGAAACTCCTGGCCAGACAAAGGGAGCCAAGTTAGGCACCACTTGCCTCACCGTGCCCTAGGTAGGCCTGGAGCAGTCTGCAAAGCCCACCCAGGAGGGAAGGGGTGGCATCCAGCCTGACCCAGGTCAAGCCATAGGAGGGGGCTCTGCCTGCCACCAGTACCTCGGACAGAGCACGGGTGGAGGTGGGCGTCAGCACCACGGCCAGCGTCTGCAACCAGGACCCCTGAAGCCAGCACCAAGGACAGAAAACACCAAGGACAGCACCCCGGACAGAGCCTCGTGGCAGGCACAGACTGAAGAGAATGGCACCAGTCTGGGCCAAGGCGGCCTCCAGTCAGTCTGGGGTCAGCAGTGGATCCGCCCCCATATCTGAGTCCCTAGAGAGCCCACAAAGAATATGGTCACAGGCCGAACACCAGCCCTATAAAATTAAACGCTTTTTAGTGTTTAAAATAGCATTTACACAGAAGCAGCTCTAGTGAACTACCCAGATGCTTGGACTTTGACATAGTATCTACAGCGCAGATGTGCAGAGGCCAGGAGTGCCAAGAAGGCAGCGGGCGGGCGGCCCACAGACAGAACAAGCCAGTTTGGCTCCTTTCTTCCCAAGACCCCATCTGCCTGCAGTGAGACCCGGAGCAGTACACAGGGCCCTCCCAGCTCCTCACCCTCCATGCTTTCCATCATGACCTGTGTCCCTCACACTCGCTCTGAGTCCCAGAGTGGAGTGGGAACACACAAGTTTCCCCCACCAGGTGGGGAGGGCACAAGTGCTACCCCCACAACAGGCAGGGCAGCAATAAATAAATAAGTTAGAACCCACTTGGAGTGACCAGAGGGCCTGGGGATGCCATTGCCTGGGTGAGATAGGCATGGCCTGTGAGCTGGGTGAGCAGAGGCTTTAGGTCAGCTCAGGAGACCTCTGCATAGCTCTGGGGGTCAACATGGAGCCCCTAAAGGCTGCTTCCAAAGAAGGGACCCAATCCCCATGCTGAAGAGGCAGGTCAGACCTGCCTGAGGAAAACACAGCTCCTCTCAAGGGTCTGCAGGCACACAGCTGCTCTCTGTCTAGGGCCCCAGGAGGAGGTGGCTGCCCTTAGCCTCTGACCTCAAGCCTGCACCCCCAGGCTGGCCCATCCCCAGCTGGTCACCGATAAGGCAAGCCCATTGGCTCCCAGTGCAGCAGGACAGGGTGCCCCACCTTGGACAGGGCTGAAGGCACTGGCCAGCCGCAGGTTACATGATGTCCACAAAGAACTCGCAAGGGTTTCCCATGGCCTTCTGGAAGGACTGACGACTGCCAGTCAGTTCTGGGGGGGCAGCAGCCAGTTCCCGGACAGGTGGTCCCCCAGGGGGTCCACCTACCACTGTGTAGGCCTTTGTCAGGGGGTGCAGTGGAGGGAGCCCGGGAGCAACAGCTGAGGCCTGGCTACGTGGGCTGCTGCCCTGGCTGAGCTGGCTGACAGGACGCTCCCGCCAGCTGGCACTGCCCAACCCACTGGGTGCCGCAGGGTCAGACTCACTGCCACTGCCCCCGCCCCCAGCTCCAGCCGCCCCACGATCCTTCTCTCGGCCTGGGGCCCGGCGGCTGCTCCGGGTGGACCCGCTGCTTCTGCTCCCTAGGAATGAAAAGGGGGAGAAGGAGGATCAGGTCAGCCAACCTAGCCACCCCAGGCCACCAATGCCTCAGGCAGCTGGCAGGAGAGGCCAAGCAAAGGGACAGCCATGCAGACACAAGGGTGGGTCTTGCCCTACCCCACAAAGCAGGAGCAGCCACGGGGCAAGGGGGTGTGGCAGCAGCAGACAGCAGGACATGGGCTGGTGTCAGAGCCCATGCTAAACCCAGGTGCTTGAGCTGAGGGCTGTTCTCCCAGCTGAGAAACTGAGGCCCCAGTGAAGGCCCTCTGTGCCTGGCACTCCTGCTGGCCATCCTGGGCTCCCCACCCAGAGACTCACTGTCCACCCGCCCTGGGGCCCTGGTCAGCTAACTGTTTGCCCCATCCTGGGCTCCAGGAAACCTGAGGACAGAGGACTACCAGAGACATGCTAAGAGGGATGCCGGGGGTTGGGGGGACCCTGGCTTACCGGCCCCGAGGGTCCACTCCGCTAGTCCTTCAGTCTAAGGCTTGCTCAGCACAAAGCAAGGGATACCACAAGTTACACACTGGGCCTGCCACCAGCTGGGTCTGGCAGCAGCTGGCTCAGGTTTGAATGGGAGCAAGTGCCTGTCCGAGGTCTGCAGACCAATGGCTTCCCCAGGCATGGCCACCCCTGCCCCTTGCCTCTTTTCCTCTGGTCCCAGAAGTTGCATACACAGCCACAGGTTTCATGTGCTGCTCAGTCTCAGCTCTGCTCCAACAGGCTCCTTCCAGTTCTCCACAGTTCCCTGTGGGCCACTGGGATGGAGACCACCCTCCCTGTGTCTTGGGCCTGGAAAGTGACCCTGACTGGTGCTCTTAAGCACCAGCCTCTGGGTACACAGCTCCTGCCATGCCATCTCCTAGTTCTGGTCTCTGCCAAACCTGCACCACCAGCCCCATCAGGCACAATAGCAAAGCCCCAGATTTCCTAAATCCCTCTCCAGAACCCAGAGGAGGCCCCAGGGCCCAAGCACACAGCAGGAGTTTGGGGTAGCAGCAGGAGGGCAGGGTGGGTGCAGGCAGCAGGGGAGCTTGGTGGGCTCTCACCTTCACTCTGCTGGCTCCCGGCGCTGCCACTGCCATAGCTGAAGCTGGGATCCTGGTAGGCGGGTGGAAAGCAGGGTGGGGGCCCAGGGTACTGGTAGGGGTAGCCCTGGCCTAGGGGCCAGGCTGTGGCTGGGTGGGGCAGCGGGGCCAGGGTGTCCTGATCCGAGGCTCCACTGGAGCCACTGTGGAGATTCAGGGCTGCGAGATCTGGTGGGGGGAGGCAGGTGAGCAGTGTACAGATCCCCCATGACCCCACTCACCACTGTACACAGGGCTCCCCCTCACTCACCACTGCACAGGTCCCCAAAGACATAGTAGCACTGCTCAGAAAAGGTGATCTTGTTCACCGTGTGCCGCAGGAAGCCGCGCCTCAGCATGCTGCCGGCATATTTCCTGGCCTCGCGCCGTTCCCGGAAGCCCTCCACATGGGTGTACAGCCAGTCTACCACGTCCGCCCCTGGCCACAAAACCAATCAGGCTGGAGCTCGGCTGGCTGCTTCCCCACCTCACCCCATTCCCTGCCAGCTGGCAGGGGCCAAGCAGGACTCACCGATGACAGCATTGGCAATGGTGATCTTGAGCCACATGCGGTCACGGATCTCCAGGCCAGAGTCTGGCAGCTGCATGACCCGGGCAACAGCACTCATGTCACTCTTCACTGTCAGTGGAGCTTCTTCCAGCTCTGCAAAGCACAACCCATCAGCTAAGGAGCAGCTGGCTCTGGGCAGAGCCTGGGAGCCCAGCAGGGATTGCAGGATGGACCCTCAGGCTTGAGGAACAGGCTTCCATCTCACCTCAAAGATGCCCCTCACAAGATCTCAGACCAGAATGGGCAAGGCCATCCCTACCCTGAAGATCAGAGTTAGGAGACCAGGTGGGCCCCCACCTCTCCTCTCCTCCCCGCAAGTGAGGACATTAGTGGTGTTAGAAGCAGGAAAGCAGAGCTGGCCACATGCCCCTTCCATCCCCACCTGGCAGGCCTGGGCCTCTCTGTGGCCCACACCAACGGACCTGGCTGTACGAGAGGCAAGCATAAGTGTGTGGGTGCTGGGAACAGGCACAATGCCTGTCCTGGGCTGGTGACAGCCATAAGAACCCAGCATAAGACTGGGCCGACCCATGCCCTCAGCCTTGGATTCCCTCCAGGGGGCTCATAAGCTGCCACTTACGTGGAGCGCCAGGCACTGAGCTGGTTAGTGAGGAGGAGCTGGAGCGCGTGACAGCGCTGGAGCAGGGGCTCGTACCATAGCGGGGCAGGGCACCCGTCAGCGCCGCTGTGTGGGACAGCCATGCGGCTGGGTCGATGGGCCGCACAGGGTCAGCTGGACAGCAGCAGGTGACAGACGGACATGAAGACAGAGAACAAGACATAGAGGAGATGGCCCTTCAGCTGGGCCATCTCCCAGCCCAACCACCCACAAGGTCACTTACCCCTCGGGATAGTGAAGTAGCTCCGGGGGGTCGGGTCCCAGCACTTAGCCACTGTAAGGCTGATGGGCCTGTTTGGGGCATTACACAGGTGAGGCCCTTATAGCCTGCCCTGCCCTGTGCCCTCATACCTATCCTCTCTCCAAGCCCCACACCCTGCAACCTCACTACCTGGGTCATGACCCCTGCTCTGCCTCCCACAGCCTCACCCTGTCTGGGACACGATCTCCCGGAGCACCCGCACGGCATCATCGTTGCTCATGTTCTCAAAGTTCACATCATTCACCTGGGGGGTGCTCGTGTCAGGGGCAGTGGCAGAGGGGGGTGCCCACATCTGGTCCCCAGCCCCCACAGCCCGTACCTGCAGCAGCATGTCGCCAGGCTCGATGCGGCCATCAGCGGCCACAGCCCCGCCCTTCATGATGGAACCGATGTAGATGCCGCCGTCACCCCGGTCATTGCTCTGCCCCACGATGCTGATGCCCAGGAAGTGATGCCTCTCTGGAGGAGCAGCCGTGAGCAGGCCCTGCCTGGCCCCGCCCTGCCCGCCCTGCCAGCCCCCGAGGCCTCACCCATGTTGAGCGTGACAGTGATGATGTTCAGAGACATGGTGGAGTCGGTGATGCTGCTGAAGGAGGAGGCCTGCAGACAGGCCCAGTGAGGTGCTGGCACCACCTAGGTACCTACCGCCCCCACTGGCCCCACTGCCTACCCGGTCTGTCTGCCGAAGGCGCTGCTTCCGGCGCCGGCGCTTGTGCTTCCGGATGAGCCGAGAGGAGGTGCTCTGCTCTGTGGAGCTGCTCAGCCTGGGGCAGAGTCAGGGTTCAGGATCTGCCCCCCCAACGCAGACCAACTGCACTAGGGACACCAGCCCCTGCCCATACCGGCTGGTGTTGTCCTCCTCATCTGAGTCGATGAAGCTGCTGGACTCCAGCTCACTGCTCAGCACAGTGGACGCACTATCCGGGGGCAGCCCCAGGTCCCGCCGCCGATCCCCTCTCAGGTGCCCATTGGTGCGGGTGGCTGCAGGCCAGCAGGTGGAGCTGATGTGGGGTCTATGCTACCTCTGGCTCCTGCTGGCCCAGCAGCTGACAAGTGACCCTATAGCCACAAGGGACACCTGGCCTGGGGCTTCCAACCAAGGACTTCAGGGTACTAGCAGGGATTTGGGGCCGACCATGGGGTGCCAGAGAGACTTGGGGCCCAGGGCAGGACAGATGCAGCCACAGTACCCTCCTCGCGGTTCCGGCGCCGGGCTCGCTCCCGCCGGTGACTGATCATAGACTCTGTGCCAGTCTCGTTGTCCATCCCATCGCGGCTGGGGGCCACGTTTGGGCTGTGTA